GCAGCCACTGCGTGCTTACCTGATAGAGCACCGGACACTGCTCCGGATGCAGTCTGCGGTCATAGACCTTGTAGCCACAGAAGGGACATGAGTGGCCCTTGGCTAACTGGGGCGAGTAGCCCTGACAGATATTAACAGCCCGCCTGTGTAGGCGTGACCAGTCCTTAGGATGCGCCTGACGAAAGTGCGACTTGACTTTGGTGTGGTCAAAAGTCCAGAAGTCACACGTTAAGCACCGATGATTAAGGACCTTGGAATCCGCAGTCCTCGAGAGCTCCGCGATGCGGTGTTGTGGGAGCAGAGCAATGTCTTGTCTCAGCTGGAAGAGAGTCCTAATATCGGGATGGTTGGACTGTTTGTCTGCTTCTTTTAGTGAACGGAGCTTCTGAGGTTCCGGACATGCCCCCGAAAGCAAGTGGTCACGTAGGCCTTTCCATTGATGGAATTTACGCTTACATGCCGCACATTGCGGCATCCCATCCACAGCGTGGAAGGCACAAAGCGGTCAATGCTCGCCGGATGAACCCTCGACTTATGCAAATGTAGTCCATTTGCAGTCTCAAATGAAGCCGCGCAGAGCGCGCACTCGTATGAGGTTACCGGATGTTCCTCGGGCTCAGGGAGTTGTGACAGGACCAACAGCTTATCTCGGATAACCTGCAGAACCGAGGGGTCTGTCGTGATGTCCGGGCTTTGCACTGCTCGTCGCTCCAGTTTGCGAAGCCGCTTCCTTAGCTTGGACTGCAGTGCGTGGACAGGGTCCTGGATGTTGTAGAGCTGGAAAAGATCCTTAGTGGTGATCCGAGTGGTGTGAGCCGGCAGGTTCAGCACCGATCGTACCTTGTAGGCGTGCCAGCTGCGAAGCTGTTTGGCCGACTCTTCGCTTAAACCGACGTCAGATAGGCCAGTCGTCAAGGTGCCCAGGACAGTACTCTGCCACACCTTAAGGCGCGACATGGTACTTGCATACCTGCGGTTGTAGACGAATTGGCGAACTTGATGCAACTTTTGCTTCGCCTCCCCCATCCGAAAATGCAGAGTCTGCAACTCGAAGTGGTTGTAGGAGATCATAACTCCTAAGTACTTGCTTGAGGAGACCCACTGGAAGGCAGGGAACGACTTGTTGGGCCCGATGCGCCACCCTCTGACTGGCTCTCCTTTGGGGTTGGTAATCCAGCAGCTGTGTTTGTTCATCACATTTTGTGCTTCTCTACCTGCCAGCTTTACCAAAATGACGCACTTGCCGATGTTGACTCTGAGTCGATGTTTGCGGACCTCCTCCAACAGGGCAGCTATAAGTGCATGGATGGCCTTGAGGTCCTTCTCAGAACGAATAGTCCTATGAAGCGTCAGGTCATCGGCGTAGCCCGTTAAAAACTTCAGAACCTGTTCAGCACCGAACAGATCCACCAGAGACCGGAAGAGGTCACCTGTGAGGAACGAGAATAGGGTGGGAGCGAGCTTACATCCTTGTTTAATGCCTGCTGTGGTTTCGATAGAAGTGGAATCGCCTTGGGCATGTAAGACGTATCTGGATCCGTCATGGAGAGCTTGAACGAGGTGGACTGTGTCCTGATCGGCCCCCTCACGCTGAAGGAGACCGATAATCTCTTGGCGAGAGACTGTGTCAAACGCCTGGCTTAGGTCTAAAGCAAAGGTCAGACCGCCTACTAGAGATGGCACCTGTGTGCCTTGCTGTATAGCATGTCTCGTAGGATGAGCCTGCTCCAACAAAGACCGAGCCTCCCGCAGATGGCACACGACTCGTTCCAGCGCATCTGAAAGCCCACGACCAGGAAGGTAGGCAAACTGTGGCATGTGTTTTAGGAACGAGAGGGTCAGGGGTTGTAGCGCCTCTCTTGCCGCTCCAGCCAGTCCTTTAGCATCCGGTCTCAAAATGCCCAAAGGACGCAAGTTTGCTGGCTTGTCCGAAGGCTTGCCAGGTTTGGGGATTAGACACAGATCTGCGTCGATGAGATCAGATTCTAGTCCATCCTCTACTTGTTTAGCAGCCACATGTCGGGAAAGGACCGGTGCAATGACGTCACTGCAAAGTCTCCAAATGGCAGCAGGTGCAGCTCCGTCAGGCACAGCTTTGTTAGGCTTGATGGAATGAATGTGAGCGGCTAATTTGGATGACTCCAAAACCGGAAAAGCTCCAGTCATTGGCCTCAGCGGGAGGTGAGCCGCGAAAACCTGGTTCGCGTACTCCCTGAGTGCCGCAAGCTCCTGCGCTGGGCCTAGAAGATGTCCTGTGCTGTCCTTGAGCTGAGCCCGACGCGCCGGCTGCCAAGGCTGCAGCTTTTTAAGGGTTTGAAACGAAATATGTTGGTCGCCCTCCGCTATGCTGGCGTCAACTTCAGCTATGAAACCCGCTATTCTGTCCTTTTTTGCTTGCTTCACAGCTTGTCTGTGCGCAACTTGCGCCAGCTCCACCTCAGTTTCCGGTTGAGGGAGTGTGTTCAACCCAGGAGGCTGTGCCATTGGTTGATGAGGCTCGATCAGCTGTGCTGAGGGAGCTGTGTTGTCTGCCCTGCAAAGGGTCCTGGCCCTCCACATACGTCGAGTCTCGGATTCAAGCGGGATCAGTCGTCTTTTGGGGAGCTTGGGGAAGAAACGTTCTGCACCCTCCAGCAGCAGTGCATTCCAATCTGAAGGGTCCTGACAGGACTCCATTCTGGATGCTACCCAACTATGCAGTGCCTTGGCTGTGTCGTCCTCCTCACGGACTGCGGCCTGAAGAGCTAGGGAATCATAACGGCGTGTGCTTCCCTTGTGCGGTGGGAGTAACCAGTGGTGCTGGAGGGGGATTTCGGCCTTAATTGGGTAGTGCCCTCCCTTCTTCCAGCTACCCAACGGGCAGTCCGTCCAAGGGGCAGACCTTTTGGCCTTGCCTCCTGCAGTGGATTCCTTAGTAAGGACAAAATCGATTTGCGACTCCACGCCACCTTGAGCAAAGGTGGCAATGTTGTCACAGTGCCAGGTATTAACAACCTTAGCAGCAGGTTGGACAAGTGGGATTCGTCTGGACGATCCTCCGTGGGCTGCTTCACGTGTGTACCCACCAATGGAGGACACGAGCGCAGTGAGGTATTAAAGTCGCCTGCCACGACTAGAGAATCCCGCTTGGGCACCTGCTTGACCACCTTAGACATGACTGATAGTACATGAGCACGGTCGTCCTTGTTAGACTGGATGGACTTGGCCGAGGACCAAGCATGTTGATACACAGCCACAATGACCAGCCTAGTACCTGCCATGTCTGCCCGAGCTTCAAGGACCCTGCCTGGACTCCACTCCTTCCAGCGAAGGCTCTTGGCTGCAAACTTGAGTGAGAAGAGAATCATGACGCCATCCGCCCGGGTCGTGGATGGAGCCGCGTTCGGTTCCTGCCTAGTCTTGCGCTTCGCGCCCTGCTTCTGCTGGGCGCTACGTTTGGCAGACTCCGAGGCCGAAGAGATGCAATGTCAACCTGAAACACTGAACTCGCTAGTCTCCGTCCAGTGCGTCTCCTGCAGGATAAGGACGTCGCAGTGGTGGGAGGCTTCAGCCGCCAGCCACGTTTTTAGTTCTCCCCATTGCTGTTGACCTAGGTGCCCCGCGTTCCAAGAGACTACCCGAATGGATCTTTCTAGTCGTCCTGCCCTGCGGGAGGCTGTGCCATGTGCAGGGGAGTCAGCAGTCTGTGACTGAAGCTCTCTTCGAGTCGGTGGGGGCCGCACCCCCAACTGGTTGACTAGGGTCGGTGTCAGAACCTGTCCGCGGTATGGTACGGGTCCGTCACTTCTGATTGTCCGTCTACATGCTGTCTTGAACGAATTCTTGCGAAGAGATGCAAAGTTTTGTGAGTGCACTGGTAGTTGCGCCATCCGCTACTTTCGTCAAGAGACAGAAGCCTAATGACTCCCTCCACTGCGCGGAAGTGGAAACCCTACCGCCTACCCAGTGTTGCAATGTTTTAAACAGAGTCTGGGCCCAGGAATTGGGACCTGGCGGCTCAAAGCAGCTCCTGTGAGAAAAGGGAGAGGACCATGGCGTAGAAGGAGGCACAAACCTTTACTGTTCAGAAAAGGGCCCGGTTGGGACCTCTAGCACAGCAGTTGCGCCCCAAGCCTGTTCGAAACCTCTCATTCAGCGCGGCCGCTTGAGCACTTGTGGCGGCTACTACTACTACTACTACTACTACTACTACTACTACTACTACTACTACTACTACTGCGACTGCGACTGCGACTGCGACTACGACTACGACTACGACTACGACTACGACTACTGCTACTACTACTACTACTACTACTACTACTACCACTACCACTACCACTACCACTACCACTACGACTACGACTACTACTACTACTACTACTACTGCTACGACTACTTGCCTGAGTGAGAACTGCGTAAAGTGTTCGAACTGCTGTGCAGCACCTTGTCTTTTGAACTGTCTTGACCCTGGGATTGAAGGCAGCTGAAACCTTTACCCGACCCATTGGGCTCACGCATTCTCCGTTCTTTCATCTCCCGCTGTAATGTAGATTATCGTATCCTGTTTGCTGGAGGAGTTGGGAAGTGTGAGCCCGTGGTAGCCTAAGTGACCTGTCGCCTGCAGTGCGGAATCGCAAGAGTCCGACAAGTGGGAGCCAAAACTACTACTACTGCTGCTGCTGCTGCTGCTTCTGCTGCTGCTGCTACGACTACTACTACTGCTACTGCTACTGCTGCGGCTTTCTACTAGCACGAGTACATTCTATCACTAGCTGCAGCTTTTTCAATCGAACCCTAATACTGGCAAGTACAAGGAGAGTAGATCACAAACCTAGACATGAAGGAGGATGGTAATTATCAAAACACAATGATACTAGCTGCCATGACAAGTAAGAAGAATGAAGTTTAGGATCAGAGCCGGAATATCCACGGTAGTGTCGGCAATGACAACCACAAGGGCGTTAGCGCAGTCCCGACTTGGTTTGATGAGGCAGGCCATCGGCCGGACCGTCGTCCAGATGCTGCGCAGCACACACGCGGCGGTGAGGCTACACTCGACCCGAGTGCTGGGTTGCTGCGCATCTTGTCTATTTGGGTCTGGGATATTTCGGGGTTTTGAGTGGTGGTCTTCGTCTGGCCAGATGAGTTCGCACGCAGCTGCTCCTGAAATTGGCATTCGCCTTGATTTTCTATCCCTTGGATCTGAGCAGAGCCACCGACCCAGTCCGTCGGACTGCAAATTCTTCGAGGTCGTGAAGCAAGCAAGTGCAGGAGAAGGTCAAGGCTACGCAGAGGCACAAGCTTCCAGCATATCTTGGTGTTGGGAGGTATGTGGTGCCCGGCCAGGGAAGTTGAATATGGGGAAGACTGCGGTGGACATTGGCTTTTCGGTCTTGGCGATTAAATTCAATGTGAAAGGCGCAGCAGCATCAATATCAGCATCTCCACCAGTATCGTTCGCATCACCAGCACCAGCGCGTGAGCCGCCATGACCGCCACCACAACGCCACGATGACAAGCACAACCACGGCCACGGTGGTTGCCGTCGTCGTCCATCATCACCATCACCATCACCATGATCATCATCATCCTAATCGCAACAGCCATCGCCTTGTTCAAAGCGATCGGAACCTAGCTAGCAAGATCAGCAAGCACATGTGGCGCCAATCAGGGTCGTGAACGGAGGGCCATGACCACTTGCAAAATCCCTGCACATCTGCTTCGCCTGCATACAAGTTAGTGGATGTGTACAGCGCTATGGTTCTCAGAGTGTCGGGTGTTGGCTTTCGTGATGTTTGTTTTTTGTGCGGCAGCTCGGGTCTGGGTCGTTCCTTCGGGATGCAGACATAGCACAAACAACATACATCGAACTCTTCAAACCTGCGTGGAGGTTTGGCCCACGTCCATGTCGTAAAACTCTAAGCAGTCAGCCCCGCGCCTTAAACATGTGCGGAGAAACAAAGGGAAGGTGTAGAGTGTAAAGTGAACTGCTGTAGGTTACATGTGAGCCTCCGAGCAGCCAGCTTGTTTATCGGAGGCCCTGGTCTCAGCGATGACTTTGGGAAATCCTGAAGCTTGGGCACGGGACCGGGACACTCGGTGCAATTCGGCGATGCTTGCTTCAGAAACGTCATTTGTGGAGCTGCGATGACCACTATTGCCACAGTTGTTGGGTGCCGTTTGTCGTCGAAGTCGAACTCGGCTTAGCCGTTCCTGTTGCCATTGGCAGATTCTTTCCTGAATGCCACTGCTCTGATTGAATTTTGGTCTCTGGTTGTTTGTCGATTTTTTTGATTTCCTGCCGTTGTGGCCATGGTTAACAACTCCCCATGACACATTGAAGGAGGTCCCGATTTATTGACGGAAATGGATCACGTGACACGCCTGTCTTTGTCTGTTGCAGACTTGGCCAGACCCGTACCCTCTAAACACTTAAATTCCCTAATCTAAAACCCCAAACATCTAAATGCTAACTCCGAGAGCGTAAACCCCGAAAGTCTAAATCCTAACCCTGAAACCCCAACCCTCAAACCCTAAACTGTCAAAATGAAGCCGTGCCTGCGGTGTGCGAGTGCGCGAGTCGAAACCGTCTAAATCCCTTTTGGCATTTCTTCGGAACTTCTTGTTGGGACTTTGGGCCTTAAGGCTTTGCATCAGGGCCGAATCAATGACGGGGGGTGTTAGGTGGGTTCGAAGTTGAGGTTAAGGGTGTTCTTTTTTGGCAGGTCTTTGGGTTTAGGATTTCGGGGTCCGGGTTGGTAGGGTCTTTTCGTCCAATGAAAACTCCCACCTCAGTAGTCACGGAGATGGACACCTTCCGGGTTTGTTACAGGGATCTCCTTGCCTGCTGTTGCGACTCTTCGTTGTGATCGGGTTCAGTTTAGGGTTCAGGTCAGGGGCGATTATCTACTTACAGGAAGATTGCAGGTGCCCCTGTAACCGGTTGCGATCTAGCTATGTATTAGTATATGCAACAAGTAAAACTGTGCAAGCCTTCGGCCCTACGACAATGCCGCAGCCCTTTTTCCCTACAAGTCCCAATGAGGATGCCCAAAGAGGAATCCTAAAGCCGACTTTGACGAAACCACAACCAGATTCGAAGGTCAAAGCCGTACTGTGTTACATAGCCCTAAAGAATCCCCAGACCTCCAAAGCGAAGCCAAGACCAGGAAGAGTTGGCTGCCCGGTGTGCTGCTGTGGATGTGCTGCACCTGCTTGCTGCCCAGGCAGGTTTGGTCGTTTGGATTTGGTGGTTTTGGATAGTGTTGAATTTTGTTCCGCTGTGTTTGCTGTCTACGGGGTTTCAGGACCAGTGCTCCACATAAGGACTTTTGAGCAAGCATTCGAGCCTCCAGAGAGGGCGTGGCACTTCCATAACCACAGGCATCAGTGATGGCAACGGGGCCTTTGGTGGGCTGGGCAACACACGGTTGGCATGCTGAGTGACAGTTTAGGCGGGAAGTCGGTGTCTCCTCATTTATTTTGACTCTGCAAGGGGGTTTGGTACGTTCGTGCAACGGGAAAGCTAGACTGCGCCTCCAGCGAGTCCTCGAAAAACGTCGACCGCTTTGGGTAGCATGAGAGCTAGCTTGGAGTTCTGAAAATAGTTCAATACTGCCCTTGCCGATTCCCAAACTTGCGTCCCCTCCTCTGCTTGGGAGACTTGCGGCATTCCTCGAAGGGCCTGCAACAAAGGCTCCAATCACCGCCTGGCCCTGGCCTGCACAGCCTTGAGCCTTAAAGCCTCATACCCTAAACGACAAACCACTTAAGCCCACAACACCGCAGGAGTCGCAGAAGCAACTCTTGCAAGACCTCTTGGGTCGCGCTGCGACAGTGCTGGATGCTCCTGGGGATAATGCAGACCTGTGTTTAATGAAGCCACCTCTCTTCAGAAATAGCAGGTGGTGAGGAAAGGGGTTGGAATAGAGGTAGAGATGTATTTTGCCAGTGGGAACTGGGTCTATTCGCGAGCCGCTTTCCTCTAAGGCTTTCTTTCTGTTCAACCATATCGAACCCTGCAACTTGCGGCCCTGCACCCGTTCGTCCCAATTGTGACAGCAAATCCCGAAGAATACCAGGTGGGCCCCTCCAAAGGCACTTGGTCCAATCTGGCTGAGTTCCTGAAGGTGGTCGCCAGGATACATGTCGGGCTTCGAGAACTGCAAAAGCAAACAGAGTGAATGAGCGACCGAGACAGGGAGAGACAGATTCTTCGAGGGGTCCATCCATCTTGCATAATTATATCCCTTTACGGTGCCAGGGACGTGGATGAGGTTGGCCCACTTTCAGCTTCTCCTTGGCGGTAGCATTGCAGCCAGTCTTGGCTTACGACGGCTGCGGCTACTGCTCTGCGGCGACTAGTACGACTCGAACAACATACAAATCAGCAGCAAGATCGGTAACCGTAGCATTAGCAGTTTTAGTAGCAGAAGTACTAGAAGTGGCAGCAAATGCCGCCGTCGTCGTAGTTATGATTGTTGTTGTCGCTGTTGCTGCTGTGGAACTACTTGTAGTTGCGGTGGTGGTAGTGGCACCACTACTACTACTACTACTACTACTACTACTACTACTACTACTACTACTACTCCTACTACTCCTACTACTACTCCTTCTACTACTACTCCTTCTACTACTACTACTACTACCACTACTACTACTACTACTACTAGTACTACTACTACTAGTACTACTACTACTAGTACTACTACTACTACTAGTACTACTACTACTACTACTACTACTACTACTACTACTACTACTACTACTACTACTACTACTACTACTACTACTACTACTACTACTACTACTACTACTACTACTACTACTACTACTACTACTACTACTACTACTACTACTACTACTACTACTACTACTACTACTACTACTACGACGACTACTACTACTACTACTACTACTACTACTACTGCTTCTGCTACTGCTACTGCTACTGCTACTGCTACTACTATTACTACTACTACTACTACTACTATTGCTACGACTATTACGACTACCACTACTACTACTACTACTACCACTACTACTACTACTACTACTACTACTACTACTACTACTACTACTACTACCACTACCACCACTACCACCACTACCTACCACCACTACCACCACCACGACCACGACCACGACCACGACCACGACCACGACCACGACCACGACCACGACCGCGACCACGACCACGACCACGACCACGACCACGACCACGACCACGACCACGACGACTACCACTTCCACTTCCACTTCCACTTCCACTTCCACTTCCACTTCCACTTCCTACCACTACCACTACCACTACCACTACCACTACCACTACCACTACCACCACTACTACAACTACTATTAGTACTACTACGACGACGACTACTCTTACCACCACCGCGACCACTACAAGTACCTACCACGAGCACGACCACTACCACTAACATTGCCACTAACACGACGACGACTATTACTGCTGCCGCTACTACTACTAGTGCTACTGCTACTGGTACTGCTAGTGTTACTGCTACTACAACGACGACTACTACTACTACTATTACTACTACTAAGGCTTCTGCTACTGCTTCTTCTATTACTGCTACTGCTGCTACTGCTGCCTATACTGCTCCGACTCCTACTCTTGCCCCTACTCCCACTGCTTCTGCTACTGCAGTGGCTACGCCTGCCACTACGACGATTTCTTCTATGCCATCCCCCAGGTCGGCCCCCTGGTATCCGCAAGCTCAAAATCCGAACCCGCACCTTTGGCAGGAACCAGTCTGCCTGCGTCGTCGTTTGCGAGCGTCTGGCCAGCCCCAATCCGCTTGTGCAACGCGGCTTCAGCAAGCGGGTTGCCGCCGAAGACCTAGCCATACTTTCCTAATGTGCCTGGATCCATGCCAGTCGTGTCGTCGGAGAGAAGAAAGCCTCCGAGACTAGTCGAGTCCTCGCTTCCGGCTGCGAGAACTCTTACAACAATTTTCCGACAGCCCTAATCCTCTGTCCGAGTGTGAGCGCCGAAACCTCAACTCCAGACTTCAGCATGCAGGCATTCTACGGGCTCGACTCCAAACTGGAATCTCTCAAGATTCTGATAGGCTCCAAATAGAGATCCAACAAGCCCTTTGCAGTTAGTGGCAACCGGATCTAAACTACCCGACCACCAAACAGACGAACCTCGTAACGACTTTATGACTCCCAATGAAGTCCCAGGCGCCGGGCTGCTTTGGGTATCCTGCCCCTGGTCTTCCATGGCACAGCGGCAGAGACGGCGGAGACAACACAGGTCCCACGATGTTTTCGATTGTCTGGGGCAGGGTTTAGGTGTGGGTGTGGGTGCGCTTCTGGGTGGGTGAGCATGTATATGTAGATGCACATGCACATCTGTACGCACATGTACATCTTCACATGAGCTTGCTTCACATGTGAATTCGATTGCATGTACGAGACGACCTAGACGACGTAATATACATGCACGTCCACATCTGCCTCTACATACACATGCCCAGCATACACCTGCGCACCTACATATGCATAAACCGACACATGTGCATAGACATACATACATACAGGCCCGCGTACTCATATACATGTGCACATTCAGCGCACGTACGTATTTCATTACACGCATATACCTAGGTGCGCATATACACACGCACAAGCGTTTTTAGGTAGGTGTACATAAAGACAGCCATTGTTCTGTGTACGTACATTGGGCTTGTTCTCGGTGCACGAACCCCTTAATTAATTAACTAACGCGAGGGAATGGACATGTGGAGTTGGCGATCTTCAGCCATGAGGTTTCAGGGAACTTGAGATTGACTTGGTGTTGCAAGCTTGCGGAGAAAGCTGTAGATGCTCTTCCGAAGGAGTCTGTTACAATGTAGTGCCGGATAGTCACTCATTTGCGCGACCTGCGATTCTTGAGATGGTTCACACTGGGATGATACATATACATGTATATACGTATATATATATATATATATATATATACATACATATGTGTGTTTATGCGTGTATGTGTGTGTATGTGTGTGTGTGTGTGTGTGTGTGTGTGTGTGTGTGTGTCTCTGTGTGTATGTATGTATGGCATCGCACATCAGATGCTCAGACGTGTCTGTGGCCTCGAGCCGATGACTTCTGAGTCTATGCTCCGCCTGATATCAAACTAAGAGGGCTTAGAGCTTGGGAGTTTCAGGTTTAGGGTCTGAGCGGGGCTTTGTTTTTGGGTAAAACCCTGGAGCAGAAAAGGTCCGGTTAACAATGCGAAAATACCTGCAAAGGCCGGGGTCCTTGAGTCATGGAGAGTTGACCTTTGACCTTTTTATGGGGCCCAAAGCCCAGGCCCTGCAGAGCTTGTCGTCTCACCAGAGCCCGGCGGTGAGGACGGCTGCCCTGGACGGCAGCTCAACTGAGGGGCTCAGATTTCATGAGGGGAGCTGGAGAGGGGTTTTCAGGGTGTAGGGTTCAGGATCTGCAGGTTCCAAGTAAGGATGTCACAGATTGACAGCTCTTTCTTGATTCCGGGGGCGGTGCTGAGCTGCCTTTCTGCGTTGGTGGAGTGATTTGTCGGGCGGATTCCGTTATCGAAGGCGGTCTTAACCTGAGGCGGGGTTACATGTAGCAGAATCTTTGGTTGCATAGGCAACTTGTGTGGGTCTCCTTCGCAATTCAAACCCCATTGCGTTGCTGAAGCCGTCGTGAAGCTACTCAAAGCAGGAGTTAGAGTTAGAGTTACCGGGAAGTTGCTCTTGCTGAAGCCTGGAGCCCGTACAGTTGCGTTGCTCTCATGCATGTGCTCTCGCAATCTGGGCGGCGCACTCGGGACCAGAACCTTGAGGCCGACCTGCTTGCAGATGCACTTCTGGTTCGAATCCTAGTACCGTAGCACAACTTCGAACAGCATTAGTAGTAGTCGCGAAGACCTGGAGTATTAATACCTCGGGTTCAGCCGATTCAGGTTCCCAAAGGCAGGCGCCTGCACAATGCAGACCCCCATGTTCCAAATACTCTGTCGTTTAAGGACTGCAAAGCAGTATAACGGCAGGATCCGGAGACTGTCATCCATGGCAAAGGAGGCGCACGCACCTCCATAAACAGATCGATCTCAGACTTAGAAGTGACCGCATGAACCCTGAACCCCTCAACCGAAAGCCGTAACCCCAATGCCCCTGAGCCTGCCTTTGGTTAGTAGGGAATGGAAGAATGGTAGTAATCCCAAGGTAAGCTGAGCCCCACGAGGCTTCGCAGCCCTAGCGCCCCGGGACGGCGCCTTGCGCAGCGGCGCACTGCAAGCTGCCGGCGCAGTGACTCGGCGGAATGGCAAACACAGAGCCATGCTGAAGTAGTCGGGTTAAGGGTTGGTCAACATACCAAGCCCTGCCCTCTGTGTTGTTACGGGAGACCTTGAATTTTCGGGTGAAGGTGGATGAGTTGGTCGCTGGGAACGGGAAGATTTGAACAACAGCAGTGATGCAACGCTGGAAGGCTCTTTGCGATAGCGATGGTCGAGTCTGCGCACAGGCGGCAGGCATGGTGCCCTTGCTGATGACCCGCAGCTTGGCACAGGGGTAACCACGGCGGGCACGAGGAGTGTCCGAAACCCTGAAGCCTGTAAAACCTACCCCCCCAACCTTGAATGATTGAATCCTCAACCCCAGGCCTGTTTTTTCAACCCCAAACCCGCAATCCTTCTCTTTGAGTCTTTTTGAATTAGGCCGGGGCCATCCCGAGACAGTCACGGCAGCTCTGAGGAGCTTGGCGGTGCCCCGGAGCCTTGCTTAGTTTCAGGGTTGTCTTTTTTGATGGCGGGTACTTGCGGAATTTGCAGCACACAGGCGGCTGTGTCTACCCACGCCTCCAATGCTTAAGCCATCTTGCAGTGTCTCATTGGCCCTACATCCAAGTTGAGCTGTTGGCAAAGCAACGATAACACTGAGAGGGTTCCCAGATTAGTATACCATGCATATGCGTGTATACATGGATGGCGGGATGGATGGAGGGATGGATGTATGGATGGCCGGATGTACCTGTTTATTTATCTATGTATCTGTGTACGTGAGTGTCTTTCTGCCTGGCTGACTGGCTGGCCCGTCTGGCTGCCTCTCTGTATGTATACAATATACATGCATGCATGTGTTTTGCATTAATGTAATCAGTGCATTTGTCGCAGTGTAATGTAAGATTAGCTTATATAATGTACGTAGGTATGCATGCATGCGCGTATGTAATGTAAGGTAATGTATTGTAATGTAAGTAAGGAAGTGCACATTTGTTTGTATGCATGTGTCTGTGTGTGCATGGATGCATGTATATATGTATATATATATATATGGGAAAGCGGGAGCCAAAATATGGGAAAGCTGTTTTTGAAAGACATACAAGCATTTGTAAAGATAACGCCACACAGCATCAACTGCATATGCAAATCTTACACGAATACCTTTTCCAAACACACAGAGCAAAGTTTTCCGTCTAATAATTGCGAGAGTCGACAGAATTAGGGCAGACCGGAAGCTTAAACCCGGAAGCTGAAGAAGCAGTGACCTCCTTGGCCAATCCCCCTCAACTCACCCGGCCTCGGCGATCTGATTTGGGGATAGTTAGATGGTGCTGGAGGGCTAGGTTAGTCAAGTGTTTCTGCTTGTAACTTTGTCTCCGCACGTTGTGCAGAAGCTGGTCTCAGCTGATATCCACACCCAAGAGCCATCTTGCTGGCCCGCCTGCGGGACAGGGAACACCAATCCTTGACTAAAAGCCTGGTTGCAAAAGCGCCAGCGCAGTTTCGCCTTGGCCGCCCCCCTGTTATGTCCACAGGCGCCCAAGGCGCACAACCGCCGAGTCGGTGCAGAGGTGGGCGGTCAGCTTAGGTTTAGGGCTTCCTGTGGACATTCAGGGTTTCGGGACCAGAAGGTGCGCTTTTTGGATCGGATTGACGGGAGTCACGCCGCCTCACCGGACCTTGGAACTTAGGGGAGTTGGCATCGAGTCACCACCGAAACTCGGCTCCTTGACGAGATATGGCCCGCCTCAGAATTCAGGTGCAAATACCTCCGGTAAACATGGCAGGCTTACTATGGCCCGACAGCGGCTGTACCTTACACACTAGATCCGGTAGCTTCAAGCTTGAATCCTCAGTGTCAGAGATCGAAGAATTGAAATCGACGGGAGTTGTTGTCGTCGTCGTTGCCGTCATAGTCACGCATCACCACTGCAAAATAGCGACGTCTACAACGACAAACAATGCAGTTGCAGCAGCAAAAGCCACAGCAACCACCCGAAGATAAAGAATAATGAGAGTACCGAGAGGAGGCACGAAAGACCAGTAATAACACTGACTATAAAAAGCAAGAACACGACCAAGCACATCGCCATCATCATCATCATCATCATCATCATGATCATGAACAACAATAGAGGCAGCAGTTCCACCAGTGGCGCTACCAGCATCTGCAACCAAGTCAAAAAGCGCGAGCGTGAGCAGAGCAGAGAAGTTAAACGTAGTACAGTAATACACCCTCAAACCTCTACTCCCTTCTTTTGCTTTCGTATACTTATCCTACGGACCCGAAGCCTCGGAAGAGCCATAGGGATTTCGCACCTCCTCGCTCCTTCTTAATTAAACTTACATATGTGTCGTATTGTCAGTATTCTTGCAATCTTATAGCTGTTGTGTTCTTGTTCTTAGTAGACCCAGCTATTCGTCCGAGCCTGTGTTTTCAAGTTCTCATATCGACAGCCACAGAAGGTCTTGGCACAAGTCGCCGCCCAGGACGGCACGATCTGGCCAAGCGGTTTAGGGCGTATGGTCCTTGTGTTGAGAGTTTCAGGATGCACAGGTTCTGTGAGGGCTCAAACATCACCAATTCCTACGCCCTGAGCTTTTGGACATGCTCTGAGCCCAGGGCTTCAGGCCGCTCCCAGGCAAAGGCACACGTCCATGGAGCTTTGCGCTGCTTTGATTTGCAAACCTTCTCTGTCCCTAGACGGCTTGTCCCTGGCAAAGACGTCGAGAAGTCCCCACATAAATCAGGGATCCCTGTGCATCCTCTCTGATGCCTGCTTGAGAGGATGACCACTGCGTGACGAGATCCCTAGGCGGGTAGCCTTCCAGACCGATTTCCGTAGCAAGGGCTTAGCGTTGACATGAGGATTGCAGGCGCAAAAAGGCTTCAGGGCCACGTCCTAGCTGATTACACCAACGGCCGTGAAGGAAGCTAGACTTCTCAATGTATTGTAGTCTGGGCGCCGCTTTCCATCGATTTGGCACGGCTTGGCTTTGCTTTAGCAATTCAAGATTCAAGGCTTAGCATCAGCCCGCACCATGAACAACAGCAGCAGCGACAGCAGCATCGCCAACTGTGTTTCACGTTAGCACTATGTCGATTGTCAATCGTGTCTTTTGTTCGGGCTGTTCGTAGCGTCACTATCATAGTCTTTATTGCACTTGTACCTGCTCTTGTTCTAGGCAATTCTCTTCTGCATCTGCATTCGTGGCATTTCGCAGCAAGGATGGTTCATTGTGTTGGTGGCCTTGTTGTCTCTCTGACGTGGAAGTCTCCAAAAATTAGGGGCGCGAAAAGTAAATGCTGAGCCAACCGTGAACCCCCTCTCGGCACCCCTTCTCAAAACAAGCCCTGCACGTTCAGTGGGTGGTGGGGTAGTTTTGTATAGGTATGTACAGGGTTTGGCATGTTTTGGAACGGAGAAGAAGCTTTCTTAGGAGGTTTGGTATCGAATTTACAGTTACAGTGTGCTGCTCTTGTGACGGTGATGATCCTTATGAGGCAGAAGGAGATGATGATGGCGATGACGACGATGGTGATAATGATGCGAAGGGTGACAGCAGTCATGATGATGCTGATGAAGACCATGATGATGAGGATTGCTTGGACAATGACGGGATGGGCCTGTTCATGCGGATGGAGACGACACACGTTCCTAGGCCCGCTTCCCCGCCACCCACCCCGGAACGGAAACAGCAAGCTGCTCAATGTGCAAGACAGAAAGCATGAATCAGCCACGCAACTCTAATCTAAGTCGTGTTGCCTCGCCTGATCTGGTCGAGCTGCGACTGCCAAAAAAAAGGCGCCACACGAAGCAGACGACCAAGGCTCCCACAAGTTTTCGCATAGAAGGAGAGAGACCGGAAAGAAGACGCACTCTTCGGGGCAGCCCGGGGCATTTGGTCCAGGCCAAACGAACTCAGCAGGAAACTCGCAGCCCGAAGCAGGCCTCCGGCTGGAAGACCAGGATGCCGGCGTCCGGAGTGCAGCAGGCAGGTCCATTTAGGTTCAGGACCATCCCCATCATTGTTACTGGTATCTTCCTGGCTTTTTCCTTATCACTTTCGTTTCAGACGCAACGCCAATCACTCTCTTTGCTTGTCTTATACTTGTTATCGCAAGGTCCGCAACGACGACCATAAACCCGATGCTGTGAGTCCAGAAACCCTCTGTGTAACAGCCGGAGCCACGTGGAACACCAGACCCGCAACTCAACCCTCATAAATGATTTAAAACCCTAAACCCTAAACCCTAAACCCTAAACCCTAAACCGTACAGTAAACCCTAAACCCTAAACTTGTATTTAAACCCTGAAGCTCCCGAAACTGCCCCGAAGTAACCTTCCAAACCCTCGCACATGTGGAGTATTAGGATCTTGAGGCTCAAGGTCTTTAGGTCTTACGTGTACAGGCTTTCGGGTTTGAGGCTTCGGGGGGTGGTTCAGGGTGTGGCTTTGGTTCAGGGTGTGGCTTAGGGTTAATGTAGACCTCAGGCTACCTTAGGCAAGGGCCAAACGGTCTGGGCTGTGGTAAAGTTTCCGGCATGAGCAAGTGCAGGGCTTCGGCGTGTGAGAAACAGGCATTTGAAAGTGTGACTGCAACAGGCTGGAGTTCACTTTTTGGCTGAGTGTTGGGGTTATGTAATCTTCGATAGATTGAAGCTGTAAACGCATGTTCTCAGCCTTGTCGGATGACATTCCCATAGTTCAAGATTGAGCAGGTCGTGATATGCAGTACCGCGCAAGCTCCGGAACATTGGTTCCATCATGTTCGCGGCAGTTGCGGGCTAGTTGCGGGCATGTCAGAGCGGAGGTTGATTTTCGCAAACATGTTGCCTCTTGACTTGTACATCGTACGTACCTATAGGGCTTTGCCAACAGCACTGCACCCTAAAACCCTGAACCCCAAATCGGAGGCACATGCTTAACTTCAAGCCCCGAGCCCTAAACGCTAAAACACGTAGACAGAGTCGGGCTCGCAACCCCAAACTCTGAAGTGCGCAGTCCAACCCTCAGGAAAAGGCCTGGCTGACTTGCTCGTCCTTTCGGACCGGAAGGATACCACGGGTTCCCGCACTGCACACCGAAAGCCCAATACTCCCTTACTGAATATCCCTTGTGTTGTACATAATGGATCTCGATTGTATTGTAAGGTGCATTGCTCGCATGGGGGCATGGGGTGAGTTCGAATCCTTCTCCGTCTGCCTCTCAAGACCTTCATACGATCCCTCTTATCATCCTTATCCTCAAACAGTGGGGAGATGAGGGGCTGCACAGATTTCAGGGTTTGCGCAGGGATTGTACAAGTTCGTAGGGTCGTAGGTCAGACCTGGACGAATTAAAAGGGGTGGGGTTAGGTTGAGGAATCACGAGGTTGATGTGAGGGATGTTGTTTCAGGCTGTTGAGTTCGGCACAGGTTTCTTGAGTGGAGGGTTATGCGGAATTCTTCGTTTGGGCTTTGGAGTGAAGGATCTGCCATTGGAAGTTCGTGGCTCGGATGCTCGCACTTCAGCCCGCGAAATGTCACCCTGCACCCAGAGGAGCGTTTGAGCGCGTGAGACGCCTACATTTTGGGGGGCTTAGAGTTTCACTGATGTTGCTGTCGGTCATGGCAGTGAAGTTGGCAATGGTGAAGGTTCATGTAGAAGGGGAAGATGGCAGTGATGCGTTTGACGATGATTGCTGCTGCTGCTGCTGCTGCGGATGATGGTATGATGATGATGATGATGACCGTGGTGATGGGGACGAACCAGCCTACCTTATGATGACAATCCGATTACAAAGGCAAGGGTGAGAATGTGATAAGAGAAGCTAGGCAGAATAACATACGTGTTGACGATCCCACCAACCGATAAAGCAGTGTCGGCAAATCTGTACAAACGGGCTTGCAAGATTATGTTTTCGCACCAAAGTGCCAGGACTTCTCCAGTCCTCCACTTGGCCTGTGCCTTGATTTGATTGCGCCAAGCTATTGGCCTGCCAAAGATCGCTCCTTTCTGCCACAATATATAGTAGTATAGTCTGATAGCAAGTTCCGTGTCGGGGAAAATTCCCCCTACCATCATTGTCCTCATTGCTGCGGGCTTCAAGGCAAGAAGCGGTTCTGCGGATGGGGCACGCGTCGCTGGACGTCCGTCGCACAGCCGTGGAGGTCAGGGTGCCGCAAGGTTTTCAACATTGAAACCCGGTAAAAAGAGACTCCATAATCTAACAGCGATTGAAAGAGCTCTTCACCCCGTTGCTCCGACATCGGACAGCTTTGGTTCAGGTCCATAGTTCGCTCAAGTGCGCATCGCGCCCAAGATATCTTAAGACGCACGAGGCTCTGCGGAAACAAAGCAATCGGGGGCTTCAGTGTAGTTCGAACACCGAAACTGGCAACCCCCTGCTGGGGGTGGCGTTGAACTTTCACCGGCGGTCACGGGTAGGGCGATACGTATGCTACTCAGAACACTGAGAATCCCAGTTGGTGCGTGTAGCCGGGCCGTAACCACCCGGCCGCTGGAGCCAGGCTTTGCGTCAGCTCTCCAAAAGCGAAGCAGCACGACCATGGGTTGCTTGGCCGCAGGTTTCCAGCAGTACCCGTGTGTTGTGTGTCCTGTGAATTTGACGTAGTATGCATCGGCATGTTAGCTGCATCCGTAGCTTAAGCATGCATTTTGCAGTAGTTGTGGTGGGTTTAGTTGGGACGGCAGTCAGCAGCGTCATCCTTCTTAGTGCTGGTTGTAGTGCTGTCGCAGCAGCTTTGAAACCCTTTTTGATATTGTAATCATTACTACCACTACTACTACTACTACTACTCCTCCTCCTCCTGCTCCTGCTCCTGCTGCTGCTGCTGGCACTGTACTAGAACTAGTACTAGTACTAGTACTACGGTTGATGGAGGAAATCTTGCACCATCTGCCTAGTTGGGTGACACGACCCCTGAGCATAACCGCGCACCCCCTTTTCAACATTGAAGATGATGGATACCGAGGTGGTGCAAAAATTTTTGTCATTGGAACCCACGGCACTTCCGAGGATCACCGGTCAACGTTAAAAAGGGGGCGTGGGGTGTCTGCTTGGCTTAGCCACTTAAACTGGTGCAAGATTTCCTCCATCAAAAGTAGTACCAGTGCTAGTGCTAGTGCCAGTACTTCTAGTACTACTTACTAGACTACTAGGACTACTAGTAATACTAGTACTACTAGTACTACTAGTACTACTTACTAGACTATTAGGACTACTAGTACTACTAGTACTACTAGTACTACTAATACTACTAGTACTACTAATACTACTAGTACTACTAGCACTACAAGTACTACAAATACTACCAGTACTACTTACTACCACTACTACTACTACTACTACGACGACTACTACTACTACTACTACTACTCCTGCTGCTGCTACTACTACTACTACCACCACTACCACTACCACTACAACTGCCACTGCCACTGCCACCGCCACCGCCACTGCCACTGCCACTACCGCCACTGCTACTACTACTGGCCACCACTATCCCTACCACTGCAACTGCAACTGACCACTACGACTACCACTACAACAGCTACAACAACTACAACTGCAACTGGTTCTGCTACGTCTACTCTACGATTATCACTACGTACTACCAGCACTAACGCTACCGCTACAGCCCGACGGCTTCTTTCAACGTTTCCGGACATTTCTGCTTCTACGATTATTGTGATGCTGCTGTACTTGTAAGTCGGCATCACGGCATCATCGTCGCGCAGAGCGAGTAGGCCTCCTCGTCGTTGCCATCGTCGTTGTGGCCGTGTGGCCAGCACCACGGCCACATGGGGACGTGCAGCATCAGTAGCAGAGGAGCACTAGCAGTAGTGCTGTAGCAGTAGGAGTAGCAGTAGCAGTAGGAGCCGCAGCAGCAGCAGCAGCCGCAGCAGCAGCAGCAGCAGGAGCAGTAGCGGCAGCCGTAGCCGTAGCCGTAGCGGTAGCCGGTAGCGGTAGCAGTAGAAGTAGCAGTAAAAGTACTGCAGTAGTAGTCGTGCTAATAGTAAGTAGTAGTAGCAGTAGCAGCAGCAGCAGCAGCAGCAGCAGCAGCCGTAGCCGTAGCCGTAGTAGCAGTAGCAGTAGCAGTAGCAGTAGGAGTAGTAGTAGTAGTAGTAGCAGCAGCAGTAGCAGTAGCAGTAGCAGGAGCAGGAGCAGCGGTAGCGGTCGCGGTAGCGGTAGCAGTAGCCGCAGAAGTAGTAGCAGCAGTAGTAGTAGCAGCAGTAGCAGTAGCAGCAGCGCTAGCAGTAGCAGCCATAGAAGTAGCAGGAGCAGTAGTCGTCGTAGTAGCAGCAGTAGTAGTAAAAAGCGCCATAGCGTATAGGATAATTTCTATATGTAAATATAGTTGAAGTACCTAGGGTCAGTGACTGGTTTGGCGGCAACAGCTACGGTGGCGGCGGTGCTGGTGGTAGTAGTGGGATCGTGTCTAGGTCTAGGCAGTGGTATGTAGTGGTAGTACGGAAACTTAAGTAACCATTCCGAAGTGCGGGGACAGGTAGTGGCGGCTCTTTGCGAATCCTGCGCTCACGAAAGCCTTTCCGTGCGCAGGAGGGGCGCCCAGACACAGGGTAAGCTTAGGCCGTAGGCAAGATGAAAGTTTGAGGGTTGAAGTTTGTTGCGGGTTGAACGGAAAGGGGCTCACTGTCTCTGCCTCCTCCCCATGCTAGTTCGCCGTGCTCTCCATCACCGTTTTCTCCGGGGTTTGTTGGGCCGCCAAGCTGGAGGCATTCTCCTGATTGTCCTCTCTTCCGAGATGCTGCTTGATTCCCGATGCCTGCAGCACTTGAGTAAACCACGATACCTACACATCTCACACCCAGGCAAGCAGTTAATCGGAGCCTGAACCTCCCAACGAATGCCTCGCGTAGTGACTTCTTGTGTAAGCGTCACAAGATAAACCTCTGGTGCGGGAGCGAGCAGGTGAATCCGAGAGAGCATCTCCGGATCAGCGACGTTAAACAGGTGGCCAAGAAAGTTTTGAGAGGCAGACGAACTTTCGCGAGGTCTTTGGTTTTCCAGCACAACCCATGTCTTCAAGAACTGGAGACATGTTGAAGGAGAAGAATCCAGACGAGCAAACCCTGAGCAAGCCTCCTTGTTCGCTCACACTGGGCTGCGGCAGAGCAAATCTGCGGATTGCACGTTTGGGGCATTCTTGACCCGAGTATTGTGTGCCAAGGGTTCGAGACATGGATCGGCTCGTCACTAGTCCCTTCCAGCAAGCAGGTTTGTCGGGGTGTGCTGCACCTGACTTCGAAACGGAGCTTGATCTGCCGGGCCCGTGAGGACGGCTTTACAGGCCCTCCCCTGCGTCGCACGGCTCTCCGATGAGCAGGTCATAGCGAATCTCCAGGCTCGCGGACAAGGGCCGAGGGTGTAGTACAGCTTTTTGAAGATGGTTTTGGGCGTACAAGGTGGCGTCCGTCTTGGGACTGCTACTGTGTGTCTCCGACGGGCGGAAAGAACCAAGTCACGGGTAGACATGTGAGATTTGGTATTTAGGTAAGGTGGTTGAGACGAGGCCTTAGCCATGCGTGTTCTTCGTCAATTGTCCCAAGCATGAGCAGTACCATCACCATCAGAATCATAATCACCGTGACCGCTCGCAGCATGACCTACTGCCACCACCAGTTCCTTAGCAGACGGATCGAGATGTTGGGGACTTTGCAGAGTTCTTGCGTTCCAAAGCTTGTCGACTTGTAGGTCCACAGCCATGATTTGTGGACGGAGTTTGATTTCGGGGCTTTTGCGATTTACGAGTTTGTCTTCATTGTTTGGAGTTTAGGTTTGCCTTGACGCGCTGGGTCTGCTACTAGTCGAGCTCCAGCACTCCCACTGATTTACGACTCGCAGTCCCAGATGCTCCAACAGATGGCTCTTCCTGTTCACAGAACCCAATAACGAGGAAAATGCTTTACATGCGGTGATCCTGAATGTTGATCTCAGGCTTGTATGTAAATTCAAGGGGTGTAAGATATCCCGGCACCAGTATATACTCCTTGCCGCAGAACTTCGCACACACCAAGATCATGTTAAGAAGGACTTGTAGCAGGGTTTGGTGATTCCGTACAGAGCCCGTTATGTCGATTTTGGATGTCCCTTTCGAGGCTAGTAAACAGATCCCCACATCGCCTGTAGCCAAGGAGTGTCTGGCAGATGAGGCCGGCGCGGGCGTGGGTCCAGCTTCCGAGTTGAGGGTCGGTCAGTGTGAGAGTAGGAACTACATTCTGATCGAACGGCTCCCTGAAGCTGCATTATATGCATGCCAGTCTGTCTGTCCACCCGTCCGTCCGTATGTATGTGTATGTAGGTATGCAGGTATGTATATTGTGTTTACTGGTCTGATTGTCTGTCTGTCTTCCGTCCATATGTCTGTCCGTCTTTCTGTCTCGGTATGGTTTCCTCTTTGTATGTAGGTTTGTGTATCTGTCTAACTTGTCGGTCTGTCCGTCTGTCCATCCGTCCGTCCGTCCGTCTGTCTGTGGGTGTGCCTCTGCTTGTGTCGGTCGGTGAGTCTATCTGTCTGTCCGTTCATCGGTCTGCCTCTGCGTCTGTCATGTCCGACCTCCTGTCTGATATCTGTCTGTCTTCCTGTCTGTCGGTATGCGTGTGCTGATATCTGCCTGGCTGTCTTTCAGTCACTCAGTCAGAGTGCCTGCCTGCCGGCCTGCCTGTATGCATGTTATGTTATGTTATGTGTGTATGTGTGTATGTATGTATGTATGTATGTATGTATGTATGTATGTATGATTGTGTAGGTAACTACTAGTATGATGATAAGCCTATGTCTATGCATATGTACATGTTTGTGTTATTCTGCTGTACGTGCGACAAATCTGCACTTACATGTCCGCTTTCCTAATGGTTTCCTTTCTGAAGACTTTTGTCGCTGCATGCTTTGGCCTATGGAAACTCCTTGTTTTTCTTGCTTGCTTTTTTCATGGTTTTCTTTCTTTCTTTCTTTTCTGTCGTTTTTCTTTCAGTTTGCAGGGGGCGCGAGGTCCGGTGACAAAGCTCGCGCCAACGAAGCACTTTGTCACATGGACAGGTAAACGTACCGTTCCTGGGTGCAAGAGCACAGCTGGATTGGTCACATGCAAAACCATGATGATGATTTTCTCGGTTGTCCGAAACTTTTCACTTCACTTCACATGCTGAAACTTGGACATGTCTGCAGAACGCCTCCTCAGTTGTGTTCGGCAAGAGCTCCCTCATGAGGGCCTTGTCGCTATTCGGCGAAGTTGCCGGCCCACCGGGGTTCTTGTTTTAGCAGCTTTGGAGATCATTTCCGTTTCACAACATGTTCAAGTGGAGATCACTGAGTGGAAATCACACTTCCGGAAAGCAGAGTGGAGTGGCGTCCGGAGATCACTGACGATTGCATATGTTGTCATGTTTAGGCATTTTCTGGCTTGAGACTCGCATTCAAGTGTTGCTCCTGCACCCTGCCATGGATCGTGAGCGCTCCCCACGCCGTAACCCCTACTGGAGCTCCTCCTTGCCTGCTTCGGTCCCACCTGCCCCTGTGAGTTGGCAAAATCCCACACCCCGTCCGGCCCCACCAGTGACTCGACCGACAGTGCTTCAGCCACAAAACCTTACATGGCAACCTAACCCACGGATCGCTCAGATTATGAACATGTCGCCGACCCCCCGCATCCCCGGTCTCCCTTCCCCACCTGCTGCAAACTCCCCTCGAGTTTTCGGCCCGATGCTACCTGCTGAGTTCTGCCAGAGTCCGAACTATTTGGACTCCCGCTGTATTGCAGGCTTGGACTTGGCTCGTTGGGTCAAGAAGACTGATTGGACAGTTCGAAAGCAGATTGACGGATGTCCAACCCACATGATACCGCTTCATTCGTTGCTCTATCAAGGCTGGAATTCGTATTGGGTACGTCATATTGCAGAAGGCAAGCCGACTTTCTTCGCAGGTTTCAAGTCGATTGGTGAAGTTGTATTTTGTCACGCACTGTTCGGAAAGTTGCGAGATGAAGAAGTCGACTTGGATGAGCTTGCTTCTATTGTGCTTGGTACCAATGATCCCGCTTCCGAGAGCAGTGGCTCGGATTCCAAGTCGCAGGCCACACATTTGTTGGCGCAGAAGGTTGTTGACTACATGTTAGGTCTGTATCCTCAGGCCTCGGTTGACACGGAGAAGGCAGCCATGGCGAATCAGATTCAGATTCTTCAACAACAACTTGCGAATTTCGAGAATGCCTCCCCTTCCCGCTCTTCTAATCAAGGCGTTGCAGATCAGAAAACTTTGCCGATTGAAGAAAGCCCCCCGGGACGTGTACCAGAGTCCGCACCCTCAGCTCAAAAAGTTCCTGATGGTGCAACCCGTCTTCTTCGTGGTCAGACTGGTGAGCCCAAAAGTAATCTCATGCAGGCATTCCAGAAAGGAAAACCATCGGGGAGCCAGGCAGAACCGTTGAGCATTGAGAACGATGAAGTTGAGACCCAAGGTCGTAGCCCAGGAAATTCGAGCTCTGCTCCTCAGCCTGAGTATGGGACATCCTCGCATGTTGGACAAGTTGTGAAGATTGTTCTCACGGATCCATCCAAACGTCACTTCTTGAGTCGCAGCTGGAAAGCTTGCAAGTCGGACAAGGAAGTGTCGACATGGATTGAAGGCTTGAATTTGAGCAAAAACAATCGCCAGAAGCTTCAGACATGGACGGCTCATGTGCAACGATGGCATGCGGACCTTCCTTCCAATGAGCAGGCCGAATTGGATCAGGTTGTTGCCAACTGGGGTGTGCCCATCCGTGATATTCCCAAGCTTAAGGCGAATTCCTTGCTGCGTATTCTTGCTGCCGGAACAATTCTTGTGGCTTGACTACAGGCCATATTGGATGCCAGAGACCTATATCGCAGTGGAAATCCACCACAAGGTTGGTGGAAAAAGCACCGAAGTGAAGTGGATTTGCTTCGGAATGCTCATCTATTTTTCCAAGGTCTCTACGAGACACCCACCATGTTCGGACGACAATGGATGGACATTGTTATTTGGATTCGTGGAAAACTCCTTTTGCTTGCTTGTGAGTTCGGGCTTGTACAGTTGCCATTGACCTCTCAGCTTCGTTTAAAATGTTCCAGCTACACCTGGAAATTCTTTCAGACGCAGTCGGTGCTCTATTGCCGCATCTTTCTCCAGCCTGAGTTACAGAAATTCATGTATGTCGGATCATCATCCCAAACATTGGGCGACCGTGAGCGTACAAGATGGGGGAAATACCAACAGATCCGAGCGGGCAAGTCTGTATGTGGTGAACTCTCATTGTTCTGGCATTACCGACGGCGGAATTATCACATGGCCATTCCTTTGTTAATCATGCATGTCCCACAGGCCGACTGTCTGCATACAATTGAGCAGACGTTCATCAACTTGCTCCAGCCACGCCTTAATGCTCCCTGGGTTCGTTCTCTTGTAAGGGCAAAACATGCACAGATTGCCAACTCCGATCCTGTCAGATGTGTTCGCAGATTTGTGACTTCGTGGAGAACTTTCCGACGTTTCCGACGTCGGAACGTCCAGCTTACTGGATTGACTCCATCGGTCTTTCGCTCAACACACATCGTTCAGAACATCGTATACAGCTATCAGATTCTGTTCGACTTAGCTTCTGACGGGTTGAAGTCCTTTCTTGCTCAAAAGTATTTGCGCAGCAACAGAGTTGACTCCGATTTTCTTCACAGACTATTTCGGATGGCCACTCATCTCGGTGACCCTTTCTATGAGACGATTTGCAGGTCCAGATTGAACACGGTGCTGCAATTTCGGCAGTTGAGGTGTCCAACCACATGCCGGCCCTTATCCACTCCGTTCTTGTTACCGGAAGCAGGCTTCAAACGCTTGGTTCGTGGCATGTTGGGAGATATTCTGGATGTTTCGTCAAATCGACTGCTACCGTACCACATTCCAGCGACCTCGCTTGTTGCAAAAAGCCACCCCAAAATCAGAGAGGTTTTGTTCTCGCACGAGCGAATCTTGCAGTTGTGGGACCCGCATGAGGAACCACAGAGGGCCGGTGTCACATGTTGTTGCTCCGAGCTTCTTCGACATCATCCACACTTGACTGTGGTTCAGGGTCACATTGCATCTTCTGCCACTTTGTTGTCTTTGCCGCATGACTTGACTCAGCTGGCTCAGTCCAGTTGCTCAAATCCGGTATTCATGACAGCCACAGATCATTGGAAGATGTTTCTTGATGACGTGAGACAGTGGATCGATCATCACGGCTTGGTGCATTATCCGACTATTGATATCCGATTTGTGTGGCAGAAGGCATGGAAGCTGCATTCACAGCATGTTGGAACACATTGGTCGGTTGATCAGGTTCGTGAGTTGAAAAAACGGACCAAAGGATTGGTGTGGCA